CGGCCGGATGGCTGACTGGAGGCTGATCCATCCTCCAAGCCTTGAAGAGCTCGGCATCAATTTTGACAGCTAGCTCTCCATTGGTGCGAACATTACCAGGAGGCACAGGATAGCTGACTAGACGAGGCTGTCCCTGGTAAATGTGTAAGTATGAGACAAGGCCGATTCAAAGTGGGTGAGGGCCTACCTTCACGTTCTGTGCCTGCACCCATGTATCCCAAATGACAATTTGGACCTTCTCGGAGACTTTCTCTTTTATCTTCTTGGCGTTCAAGTTCTTGTTTTGCAACAACATCTTCTCATGCTGGTTTTGGAGATAGGACTCTGAGAACGACGACTTCATGTGCATCTTGTAGACACGGTCGGTCTTCTGCGGCCCTAGTGCTATAAAGGCTGATTTATCACATTGATTGGGATGGAGAGAAGTGTCAAGACATACTAGCAGCTGCGGCAGGTACTGCAGTAGCCGTTGATTTGGGCTGAGAGCGTGCGAGAGACGGCATGGACTCGACTGGGGTGCTTTGAGTTTGAGCACTCGTGTCTGAAACCGAGAGATCGCATGCAGACGTTGAGAGGACGAAATGCAAAAAGGCAAACAGAGACTTACCAGTAGAGGTGGGCTGGCTCGCGCAGGGAACTGTCTTGGCCATGACAGGTCCTGGCTGTGGGGGTGGAACAGCCAGGGTGATGGCCGAGGGGCCGGTTGACTGGTTGGACGGGTGTTGGTTTGTATTACCCCTCGAACGTGGGCTGTTCTTCTTCTCCTTCTTTGGGCGACTGTTAGAAGATGTGTTATTCATTCTCGGTAACTTGTGAATGGCGCATTCGCCTTGTTGCTCGCACTGGAACTTAGGCAGCTGCCTCTCGCAGGCTGCTGTGACCTTGCCGCACCTCTTGTGCTTTCTTCTGGTGGTAGCATCGGCTGTGCTTGGCTGTGGTGGGTTCGAAACAGGTGGGGTGACGTTCAACAGCTGGAAAGATGAAGGAGCCGTCGGATGGGGTGGTGCAGCGGCGTTCTGCACATTGGAGAGAGACGGGTTGGCTTGGGAGCAAGCCGGCATGGTGCAGCGATGCTGTGGGTGAGAGTATATGGGTGGAAGGAACGGTCCGGGATTGAGGTATGGATTGTACAAGCGCGGGAGCCAGGTGAACAATGACGGTCCAGGATGAGCCTCACACTGCGTCATTGCATATAAATGGCTGAACAGTGCGCAGGAGTGTACGAACGCACCTCGAGAAACTACCGACCCCTGTTATCTAGGTTGCTCTTTCTCCAGCAGTATATCAGTTTTCGAAGCTGTTCGAGGCAGGTTCTACAAAAACGAGGGTCGTGGAGAGATTTCTCTGCCATCAATGGAGAGCCATCCATTGTACAGTGCATTAGCAAGGGAATCTTGAATACTAATGGGTTACGCACAAGCACGGCGCCTTGATAGGCGAGGGGAGAGAGAATGAGGGAAAATAGGGTGATGAAGAGTTGAGAGAGTGAGTCCTTGCACATATATATATTCTCAGCGGTGCACATCACTGCTGAATGTTCTGAAAGGCGATAAATTGAGAGTACCTTTCACTGCTGTCAAATAACGGCTTCGAAATGTTGCAATATATCCTTGGCATGTACCGCCCGTTGTGCATCAGTGTCGAAGAACACAGCGGTATTCAAAGCTGCATCTGAAAATCTTGCAAAACATTTCGTAGTTGGTACATGAATCACTATATTGGGATGAATAAATCCAGAGGAATGGATGGGAGACGCGAAGCACAAGCGACATTCAAAGCCTTGTCTCAAAGCCTTGTCTCAAAGTCTTACAAAAGATTCCTTATCTGGTATGTAAATCACTATATTGGGAAGGAAAACACGTGAATTTTGCAATAAGCGCTTTACAGTATCTAATCTACAGGCACTCTATGAGATAAATTGGTCTGGGCGGTACAGAATGTTCCGTTTGATGGGCAAAATCTGGAACTTGGAATCTGGAAAGTTCAGCACGCCAAAAACAACGACTTTCTGTTCGTCTTGGGACTTGCTCGTTAATTCTATTTCACTCACTGCATTATCCACTGAGGTGACAGAACGCATCCTATTGGAGGAGGCACGCCACACTGAGTGCGCGGCATCGGCTGTGATGTCCACAGCCCTCGTTGCAAAAGGCACCTCGAGCACTAAGCCCAAGCAGAAATCAAAGTTCTGCAAAGGTGTCTTCTGTCACAATTGCAACAAAGAAGGTCACATCAAGGCTGAGTGCCGATCAGCCAAGGCCCAGACCTCCGAATTATCATTCAACGCACACATGGTCGAGCTAGATAGCAAGACTGATTTCTACGCCTTCACCTTGAGTGGGAGAAGTTCCACTCCTGTAGTTCAGGGGGAGATCTGGCCAGGGGATACTGCAGCACAGAACCACATTGTGCGTGACTGCTCTGCTTTCACGACTTACACTGAGACACCGGAAAGTACCATCTCGGATGTTGGCAGCGCTTGTGCTGCACTGGGCTGTGGTGATGTTTGTGTCACATTCATCACCAAGGCCGGGACGGTCCCTGTCACTTTGAAGGGCGTTCTGCACGTGCTGACCATGCAATATAATCAATTGTCACTTGGTCGTTTGTCTAGCGGAGGCATCACATTTATTGGTGAGGGGGATGAGCTGCACCTGAAAGATGGTGCACGCGCGATCAGTTTCGGGTGCAAGGCAGGTGATCAACTCTATCACATGAATATTCAGACCCACCCTCCAAAACTGTCCTCTGAGTCACTCGCGCTTGCAGTACGCACTACTCGTACATGGTACGAGTGGCACTGCACACTGGGTTACATCAATTGAGGCCAGCTGCAGGAGATGCAGAGACTGGGTCTGGTTGATGGAATAACAGTTGATGCTGCATTAGACCCCAATTTTGAATGTGAAACATGCATCCAGGTGAAGCACTCACATGCTCTGTTTTCTGAGATCGCTACCACCTGCATTTATCAGATTGGAGACCTGATCTTCTCAGACATCTGAGGGTCAGCCCAGGTTGCTTCCCTCCAAGGAAATCTCTACATCGTCAGTTTCACTGATGCTGGAGCTCGTTATGTGATGATATTCTTCATAAGAACACCAGACGCCGCCCTCGACCGCTTTAAGCATTTTGAACACCTTTTAAAGACACAACTCGGGCGGCGCATCAAGATTGTCCATGTGGACAATGCAAA